AGTGAGATAAGCGTGAAATAACAGCGTAATCATTTACGTCTTTATTCATAGAGATGTACATATGTATGTATGTTTATATATACAAATGTATTTATGTATACATAATTTATTTTTATTTTTTCTAAATACGTATGTATGTATGCATGTGCAAATATATTTATACGCATTTGAAAAGAAATTGCCCTTAAACTAATCGAATATAAAAGAAAAAATATTATTCGGAAATGTGTTTAGTTTTAAGGAAAATAATTTTTTTGCTTTGTAACCCATGAGCTAGTAGTGAAAGACAAATGTAACAGAAATGTCAAAATTTAAAAATTCTTTTAATGTCGAAGTCATGTCTTGCCGAAACGAAATACGTCGAAATCCTATCCCAACGAAATGAAGAAGGTCGATCAAAAATAGAAAATGTCGAAAATTTCGAATAATCTTGGAAACCTATAGTAATTTTTTGAAATAATATATAATATATCGCACGCTGCGTTTTTAATTTTTCTCTCTGACGTCAGGATGTTTTTTTAAAAGGACTTTGAAATTTCTAGAATATGCTTGAATAAAAAAATTATTCAAAAGATTCGATGCATTGTAGAATAACAATATGGGTGCAATTAAAAGGAAAAAATCCCAATAATAGAAAAAATAATTAATTTTTGGGTGCACCAGGACGAATAAGTATTGAAAATGTCCTTTTAAAACTTTATCCTTGAATATCCTGGGAAATTTCAAATATTTATTTTTGAAAGAAATATATGTCAAGGACTAATATGTTAACTACCACATCCTCGAATTTCGTCCTTCTAACTTTATTAGTTGTTGATAAAAAAAATTTGCACTTTTCCTTATAAGATATTGATAGTTACAATATACACAAATGAAGATACTGAAATCGTTATTTTGGAACCATGTATGCGCTCTAAAAGAACAAACTGACCGTATGATGTACGGTTTAAATACTTTAATTTGTTTTGTATACAAGAGCGTAGCCAGCCGTTCACCTAAGGTGCGGCAGGATTTTAATTAATTTTTTTTTCTTTGTGTATATGAATAGAAATTTTTGGGATTAGGAAAGTTTAAGTTTCCTGGTATCCTTTACAACGATACCAATCTTTTAAAAATCGGTTTGTAATTTTTTTGCTTAAAATATTTTTTATAAAAAAAAAAAGAATTTTTTTGCTTTTAATTGTTGTTTCTCAAATTTTTATATACGAAGTATTCAAATATGCATACCAGAAGAAAGGGTATTTAATCACCTTTACAACGATACCAAATTTAAAAAAATCGGTTAGTAATTTTTTTGTAATTTTTTTTTTTTATAAAAAAACGGTATTTATATATTTTTTCAAAAATAAATATTGGAAATTTCCATGGATATTCAAGGATAAGGTTTTTAAAGGACATTTTCCACATTTGTTCGTCCAGGTGCAAAAAAATTTAATTTTTTTTTTAAATCTACAGAATTTTTCCTTTTAACTGATACCCATATTGTTACTCTAAAAAGCACCAAATCTTTTAAATAATTTTTTTATTCAATCGTATCCTGGCAATTTCAAAGTCCTTTAAAAAAAATCCTGATGTCAGCGAGAAAAATTGAAAACTCACTTATACTGTATTTGGCTCCTAGTTTTATGAATATATGGATTTTTTCGTGTGTTTTAAAAATGTTTGGTTTTTGTCGCACGGTGTATTATACAGATGTAATTAAAAATTTACGTTTTTGGAGAAGCTTAATAAAGAGAATATGTTCAGCCTAACAGATGACTAAACTTCCCAATAAAGGCGAGGATATGAATCTTTTCATCTGTCTTTTGGTATACCGATTTTCAAAAATGAGATGTCAAATTAAAGCGACTGAACTATAGGAGGGTTGCCACCTGCTAAAAAAATCATATAAGCTAATGCGTTAATAAACTGCCGCGAATAAGAGCTACACGGCAATTTCTGTGCAGATCCTATAGTCACAGAAGTGAGTACAGCATCGACTCTCTCGAGGCAGATTAACTACGTACGTGTGATCTCGGAGCGGTACTTTGAGACGAATTTCGTTACCACTATTCACGTCGAAAGATCGCGGACGGACGCGAGGATGGTCTGAGTCTGTGAGTTTTTAGACATGTGGGTTAAAAATGGACGTGTGAATCTTCAAATTGCCAAGCACTCGAAAAGCTCTTCAGGAGTTTTAATAAAATTCTACCCGAGTTGCTATATGTAATTATGAAGGCAGATTAGCTAAGAAGAAAGCGCTAAGATAGTTTTACCTCAAATCGGCTACAGCACTAGCGGTTGAAAACGATGCAATGTCGTACCGCATGAGTTTCTATTTGACAGTATCTTATCAAGACCAAGAGCTGGTATGTACATACCCTGCTTAGGAAGCTCGTTAAATAAAGGGGTTATCGCCCATCGCTGCACAGCCAAATAAACGCTAATCTATGTATAAAAAGGCCGCAAGTTATTACAATTCCTTGGCAATTACTGACCTTTAGCATTTCCTCTGTAGTCAATTCCTCAGGCTAGCCGTTTCCTACAATGTATATGCCTCGTTTTGGGTATTCCGAGGCGACTGAAACTCCCTACCCATTTTCGATAACACCGTAAGAGAATTTAAAGCCCGATTCTCTTGTCAGAGTATACATTTGCCCTTCAAAACGGTTTCCATTACGCAGTAATCCGTTTCTTTCGGCTTGAAATCAAAGTCTCCGTCATGCCTTGTAAGTTTGAACACAACCCGGTTTCGGCGTTGTATCATCTTCACTGTAATTTTTTGGACGAAACCAGTTTGTATTAAAACCACACCTGGCAAGGAATGACGTTTCCGCTCCAAACATCAAAGTTCAAAAGAACTGATATGGAAGTTTGATGGGTAATTCTTCTTTTTCTTCTTCTTTGGCGCTCTAACCGCCTAAGCGATTTTGGCCGAGTTCAACAAAGCACGCCAGTCGTTTCTCTTCTGCTCTAACTGACGCCAATTGTAAATGCCAAATGAACCTAGTGATTCTCCACTTGATGTTTCCATCGCAGTGGGGGCCTCCCTCTTCCTCTGATACCACCCAACAGCGGGTTCCGAGTTGAATACTTTCAGTGCTGGTGCGTCGAACTTGGCCAAGCCAGCGGAGAGGCTGTATTTTAATTCGCTACACTATGTCTATGTCACTGTTAGGCTCATACAGCTCATCGTTACATCATCTGCAGTACTCGCCGTCGCCAATTACGCGTGACCCTTAAATCTTCCGCAAAATCTTTCTCTCGAATACTCCAAGAGCCGCCTCTTTGGAAGTTGTTGTATTGTAGTAGCTACAACAACCCCGCCCAGATCGGCTAGTCCCTCAATCGGTGTCGTCAAGCTGGGCTAACGGGAGACCCAAGAAGCGTGCAGCCTCTATAGGGTCCGTCCCTAGGGACAGAGACGTTAGTTGAGTGGGGTTTAGTGGGCATGCGAAGAGATGTCTCCAGTCACGGGGTCTCTCCCCATGTCGGGCGCGCATTGGGCACATCCGCATCCAATTTGCTCAGGTACGAGCAGAAGTTGTAATTGTCCATGCTATTGCGCCCAATAGCAACACAGGCATGAGTGACTTAAAGAGTGTGTTTTTCGTACGTCGAGAGAGGACTTTACTCAGTTAAGAGTAAAAGAGGAAAAAAGACAGATTTGGCAGTTTTTGCTAACGATGACGGGTAATTAAAATTAGATTATGGCTGCATTTCTTTATTCATTCTGAACGTTTGGAATAAGCTTTTTTGTTTATTTATTATTTAGAACGTTCCTGTTGATATGGTGACGTATATTTCAAACGCATTCTGTTTATTCCGGCTGTGAAATGGGATTATCCGGAATGTATAAAGAAACGCAGCCTATGTGTACGTATGTAGATTAGGGCTGTGATTTATAATCGGATTTTTTTGAATATCTGATTATCCAGATATTGACCGAATATGCGGCTAACAATTAATATCCGAATGGATATCCGAATACCCGGCATAGTTCCAGCCCTACTATAGATATTGAATAATTTTAGGCATACTGGTCATATAAACAGATTACTTCAGCAGCCGGAATACAACATTCGCTATCGCTAATTTTGATCGCAAAAAAATCTCCAAAAGAATAGCTGGCGCGTTTAACGACATTGCAACAGCTAGTTACGTGCCTCACATACTGCCAGATTTGGCTTATTACACATTCCATCCGTTACATTTCACATGTTGTATACTCTCAGGTTCATTTAGAGAATTTTGGGCTGGAAAATTCAGAATAGCGAATGTCATAATTCCACTGTTGACGCTAGATGTATTTCCCTTTGTCTATTGACCTACTTCCTCTGATAGCAATTCTAAAAAAAATTGTACGATAGTTTATTAAACACCTAGGGACGGGTTGTTGTTGTTGCCGACAGAGTGGGTATGTTTTGGGTTGAATTATCGTTATCACTTGTCAATTTCGGTTTGGATACAACCGGGCTTCGGCGTTGTACCATTGTCAGTGTCATTACGCGTACAAACCCTGTTGAAGTTGTTAGATAAAAAATCATTAGCAGGTTTTATTATATAAGATAAAAAATCACCATTTGCCTCATTTACTGAAAAATCTATTCTGGTCCCATACAAACATCTGGTAATGTAACTATATAGGAAATAAACAACCATGTTTGCTCATTACATTCCGTTATTCCTTCGGGAATGTTGATATTATTATTAATTATTTCAATACTTATTTATTTAAATATCTTTCGTTAAACTAAGAGTGTCTGGTTTTAGTTGTTAACCAAATAAAATTTGTTTTAGATTTTTTTTTTTCGTTTCATCGAATCCAATTTGTGTTTTTCGTTTGTCAGTTGATTAGTTTAAACATCCATAGCATATTATTTTAATTATAAATATGTAGATGAAAGCGTGCAAGTCAAACAAAACGTTTAAAGAGGTGCTGCAAAAATATGTTAGGTCCAAAAAAAAGCATTTTCACACCAGACCAAAAATAGGATGAAATAATAGAAGAGCTGACTGAATATAGCACACTGCATAAGTATGCATTACTTTTTTCTATCATTGCTCGTATTACATTTTTTTTGTTTGTTAAATTGGTAAGAGATTCTGTAAGATCAGCTGCCTTCTTGCACCGCATACTCAAAATGAATGCCGTCACATAATCTCCATCCGCACACACTATATAATGATATATGTATTTATGTATAAGTATGGTGGTATAAGCAGTTTTAGCCTGTTTGGCATTGTACGCTCTCGAAATGTGGTTGACCATCATCGTCATCTTCATCCATGCCACCATGTGCCCCCCCAGGAACACCTTCACCATATGGTGGTACATCCATCATTACCACTTCCTCAGCATCTTCGGGCATTGTAAAGGGTTGACGAGGCGGCAAGAGCGTCTCCAGCAAATGCATTTGCTCTAAAGTAGCGAAATTATCATCAGGGAAGTCAATATTGAATTCGACGAAAAGATCTCCGCGCTCGAAGGGATTATTGCGCATAGGCATGCCCTCACCGGTGACAACTCTCAGTTCACTGTGTTTTATAACATCGCCCGGTTTGTTTGTGATGCATAATGTACGTCCATCTAAGTGTTGGAAACAATGCACGTATCCACATAGCGCTTGCGTGATATTTATGTGTATATCGCGCAGGAAGAGATCATTCTGGCGCCGTATGAATATCGGATGTTCAGCTTGCACTAAGACGACAATAAGATCGCCACGTTCACCGACAAGCGGTTGATTGCCCGCAGAGTGGAATAGTACTTTTAACATATTTGGCGCACCTTTCTCTATAGGCACTTCATGCTTTACCTCCTCTTCCACCAAACCACTGCCGCTACAGGTGATACAACGAAATCCCTCCGGTATGGTGGTGCCACGCCCATAACAAGACGGGCAGCTCTGCAAAAATACAGCAAAAGCAAGTAAATTAACAAGCAATTTATGTTTTTCTTTTATGTTGAGTATGCTTACAGATTCAAATGCGTTCACAAAGGCACCCATAAAAGAATAATTTGCCGTACGTCCCGTGCCATTACAGGCCTTACATTGCTCCACTGTCATCTTAGGCCCGCCTTCACCATCGCATGCGGCACAATAGGAAGTACGTTTGTATTCAACAGGCTTGGAAACGTTGCCATTGTATACTTCTTCTAGAGTCACTTCTAGCTTTACCACAACTTGCGCTGCTTGGCGGGCACGACTATTGGCGGCACCGCCTCCACCATGATTATGACCTCCACTGAAAGGAAACCAATGCGAAAAGAACTCGGAGGCATCACCGAATCCATCACTGCCCTCTTGCAGGCCTTTCAGTCCTAAGCGATCATAGATTTTACGTTTTTCTGGATCGGAAAGAATCTCATATGCGAATGAAATTTCCTTAAATTTATCACCAGCTTCTGGATTCTTATCCGGGTGAAATTCTTTAGCTAATTTACGATAATTCTGTAAAGATTTAATTCAAATATGTTAATTACATGTTGATATTTATCAACAAATAAGTCATGAGATAATTAGTAAAAAATGTAAACAAAGTCAACCTTAAGCGGTCAGCTGTTTTGTGGAACGTATTCCCCAACAAAGAAATTACTCTCGTTCAAAGCAAACAGCAAAACTGTATGGAAGTTGCTTCCTCGTTGTCGCGAGCGCGAATGCTGCAATTGCAACCAAGAGGATGTACTTCATCCAGGTAGTGACCACAACGAACCACGGATTCTCCCATTAGATCACTCCGTTTTAACCATATCCATTTTAAACAAAGTGCCAACAGCTGGCACTAGCCTTTCCTACACACACATTCCCATTAGCCTTGTTGATGCTTGCAATACATTCCGGCGGCCCACATACAAACTTGACTCATCCGTTGTACTTGCAGCGAACATACGTCGAATTTTTTATTAGTTACCTTTTTAATTTCTGCATCTGTTGAATTTTTATCCACTCCAAGAATTTCGTATAGCTCCACATGCTCCATGGCTGCAACTTCTTAATTTTCTCCAATATAAATCAATTTTCTTCAATACTTTCTACCGTCGCAAACACAAAATAACAATCGGAAAATTTTGCATTGAGAAAGCTTTCTGTCCTCTTTCCACGTTCGACGTTCGCCGACGACGACCTAGATATGACGTAAAAACATCGATGCATCGAAAAATTTCCACTCGATGTATCGATGCATGTACATTGAACCGCCATTTCAGGTCATGGTACAATAAAAACAGGTAGAAGCCAAATTGACATCAAACCTACAAAAGTCAAAGTTTTCGGGAGAGTAAAAATAAAAATGAGCATGTGTAAGGAAAAATAAAAAATTCCATTTCACTGGATGACGTTTTTAAGTAAATTTGAAGTTTAATTTTATTTATTTATTTTCTTTAGTTAAAATTTGTTAATTTGTTAGTTGTTTTCTGTCTTTGATTTATGAGTTGCAGTGTTGTTGGAGGGACTTTCCGGCATAAGGGTCATAGGAACAGCACTTGGCATCAAACGTGCCTTTCCTGTACCTCCCGGTGCATTTATGAAATCTGCTGCTTTAAAATGTTTAACGCACAGCAAGGCATTTCGCTGCAGCTCTACCCCACAGCTGCTTTCCCAACGCTTCTTACGCTAAGGACATTGAGGCACGTTAAAAAATTAGTGGCCTGTGATTTATATTTAACACCACATAAAAACAAGGCTTCAGGTGCTGCATTTTTAACACATACACTAAGTATAAGCCGCACAACACTACAAAAATTCAAATGTTAATTAAAATTTGTTTTTAACGAATATTCAAAAAAAAAAAACAAAAATCAAACGACATGACATTTAAAGCGTAACGAAATATAGGAAATAAAAGAAAACCAAGTTGAAGTTTAAAGGTTTGGTTCTCATCAGAGCAATGTCATTTTGGCTTCTACCTATATTTATGTGCCTTGATTTCAGGTTTTCAATTGTGCACAAAAGAAGAGTTTTGCCAAAAAAATAAAATGGTTCCAAACAGTTCCCCTAGAAACATAATTAGTTCAGTTATAGTAACTAATTCAAAACTTTGTACAATTCTGGTAGTAGCCTATTTTGTTTTAAAATCATAGCGGAGAAATGCAATGCAAATCGATGTATGCCCTTCGATGTATATTTCGATGCATCGAATTAGAAATGAGCACGGATAAATAAATTTAAGTAACACATACATAAAAAACCCTAAGTCATAAGTATTTCAATTGCATCATCCGCGTCTTTCCTTTCCATGTTTACGCTTCGAGTACAAAATCACTTATGAGCCGTTCGCCGTTTGTAGCAAACGACAGCCAGCATGTTGGCGCACATGTGCGCGGATATGCTCGTCGTGTGTAGCTACTGTTATCTTTCCTTCTTTGATTAATTTCATTTCAATAACGTCGGATTTCATCATGCGGTAAGATGGCAACCTGAGTCGCAGATGTGACCGGAAATTTTCCACTGAGTGTTGCATTTGAAGAAAAACGTACTTAATCAATGAGATCAATGAAAATAATTTATAAACTGAAAAGTATGCACCCCAAAGCAAGCTATTCACCCATAGAATTAATTAAAATTGAATTATATGATGTAAAATGGTGCTTAATGTGTTTAAAATTTACTAAATGGCTTGAAACATAAACTAATTCTACTCCGTTTTAAAACAAGTTTGCGAATTTACCAGTGTGCTCACAGCAACCCAGCGACACGACGGCCATTTTTGTTAACGTCATTGACGAGCCACCGAAAAATATTGTCGTCTGTGCTTGGGCGAGGATCATTTGCTGCTTTTACCGTGAAAAATATACGCAAAAATTAGAGAAAATTACGATAATTAACACCGAAATCGGTAATTGATATACCAGTTATAAGAATTAGTAAAAGAATCGCAAAAAATGTTCTATGAAAAACGCGGTTTTTCTTAGCCGAAAGTGTGAAAAAACGGTGGAGAAAAATTTTACATCAGCAAAAGAGACGAAAGGAAAATTTTGTGTGTACCAACGAAACTGCGACGAAAGCGTAACTGGGAACGGATAAACAAGGCGAAGTGTGAGTGCGAAAGAGTACGCGGTAGTTGATGGGTAGCTGAAAGGCGGTGGGAAAGAGAGCGTATTGTGTTTGCATTTTGTCTTTCGAATACAAGGAAAAGGAATTTTCGCATTGCGGGTGTAGAGTAGGTGGTGGCCACTAAAATTCAAATGGAAATGATGGAAAGTTATGAGGAACCACATATTGGACCATCACATGCGGATCAGTGTGATTTACATGATGTGAAAATTCATGAAACATGTCTATCGGCCAATTGCACTACTTTGATGGCCACTAAACAGAATTTCGATTTTGGCGCCGAAATTGTTGGAACACAAGCAATAGAACCGGAACGCGAAAGCGATATAAAAACAAACGGCGAAAGCATAGCAACAACTGCAACAGTAGCAACAGTGGCGGTAGCAGCATCCTCCACCTCGCCCAATGTAAATCAATCATCAAATATAGAAACACCATTGAACGTAGCCGAATTACCTATAAAGGGTACTTTAGCTAACGATCATGGCAGCCAGATTGATGAAGATGAAGTTGACAACGACGGCGGTGAAAGTTATCAATCAGATGATGATGATATGGACGAAGACGGTAATGAGGACTACCAACAAGAGTGCAGAGGTAATATGCATAATGATGCCTCACTTGATAGCGATGAGTCCACATCCGACTCGGATTTCTCTGACTTAAGTGGCCTATCGGACATGTCTGGCCGGGAATGGAAACCAATAAGCGCCAGGCCTATCAATTGGGTACAGAAACAAATACACGCTGGTGCTAATCCCCGTGACTTGCTTTCACAAATGTTGCCTTCCAACACACACCCGATTGCGCCGGGTGTGAATGATATGATGTTATGGCGTATACTTGCTAGCATGTTGTCAGAGCCACCAAGGCGTCAAAAACTACGTTATATAAACACATTCGAGGATGTTATTCAGCTAATTCAGCAATCTAAAAATATAATTGTTTTAACCGGCGCTGGCGTGTCAGTATCTTGTGGCATACCAGATTTCCGCTCTAGTGACGGCATCTACTGCCGCCTGGCCAAGGACTTTCCTAATTTGCCCGATCCGCAAGCTATGTTCGATATCAGTTACTTCTCACGTGATCCACGACCATTCTTCAAGTTTGCGCGCGAAATATATCCCGGACAATTTAAACCATCACCTTGTCATCGTTTTATAAAATTGCTTGAAGAGAAGCAGAAATTGTTGCGCAATTACACACAAAATATAGACACTTTGGAGAAGGTAGCTGGCATAAAGAACGTTATAGAATGCCATGGCTCGTTTTCGACGGCTTCGTGCACGAAATGCAAAGTCAAATGTACAGCAGATGCTATACGAGATGATATCTTCTCGCAACGCATACCCGTATGTCCACGTTGTCAGCCCAATGTGCATCAGAGTGTTAATGCTTCTGATGCAGTGTCGGATGCAGATTTGAGACAGCTTGTGGAGAATGGCATAATGAAGCCAGATATTGTTTTCTTCGGGGAAGGTAAGCTAGCTTTTAAACTACCAAACCACTTAGTTTCAGTTTTAACTCTGAAATGTAAATCTTTTTTCGTTAATTTCATTAATTTTTTTGTATTGTAACTGAGTACATATTTCAATTATTCAAATCACGCACATGCAGGTCTTCCCGAAGAATTCCACACTGTCATGGCGGGTGACAAAGACAGATGTGACCTGTTGATTGTTATAGGTTCTTCCCTCAAAGTGCGGCCGGTAGCGTTAATTCCTAGCTCAATACCAGCCAATGTGCCGCAGATACTCATCAATCGGGAGCAGCTGCATCATCTCGAGTTCGATGTTGAATTGTTGGGTGATTCCGATGTTATCATTAATCAATTATGTCATCGCCTAGGTGATGATTGGAAAGACATCTGCTATGATAACTTCATATTGAAGGAATCCAAGGAACTCTTACCAGTGGAGGAGGAAGACACTAACGATGAAAGTGAGGAAGATGGCCAACAGATGCTAGATACAGACACACAATCAGTTAAGTCGAGCGCATCCACAGATTTGGCGCTACGTTCGGCAGTTGCTTACTCGGATAGCGGGTTCGAATCGTCAACATCATCTGGCATGGTACTTGCTAAACAAAATATTGCAGCGGCTAGTAATGAGGCTAAGGAGGCAATAGAAAAAATCAAAACCACTATATTGGAGATGCATCAGCCATTGACAAAGACACGTCAGGGTAGCAAGCCAGGGTCAGTTAATTACTTAGAAGAGCCTAGTGATGCTGTAGATTTCGAAACTCGTTCCTTTCAACCATTTAATGAGCGCGTAAGTGAGCAGTACCACCACCACACGACATGCGGTGCGAATACACGTCATCCGTCAGTTGATTCAACCAAGGACAGTGGTATAGTGGCCGACTGCTCCATTTCTGCGCAGATTTCAAACAATGTCATTGGCATTCTGCCGCCACCAATTACAAATTTTGGTGATAGTGGAGGCACAAAAGCTATGAATGACCCCTTCACAGCTCTACCAACCTGCACAGATAACAAAACTACACCCGCAGCAACAGTAACAAGGATAGAGTCACCGCCGCCACCGCAAATGGTAAGCGATACAGAGAAAATATCAACAGCGGTCACAATACGTCGCAGTGCTAAGAAATACCGTACTGCAGCGGAACGTTTGCTCGAAGGTACATACTATGCGCATGAAACCGTTTCAGCTTATGTATTCCCCGGCGCACAAGTCTCATGGTCGTCCGATGTCGAAGAAGAGGATGAAGAAAATGGCATTATTGGAAATATATACGATGACGTCGATGAGGATGATATCGATGCAAATGGCGGTCCGCTCTCACCACTCTTGCCGCCGTCTGTGGAAGCAGAAGTAGTAAGTGAAATAACAACAACAAGTGCATTTGCAATTTGCGCCAAGCGAACGCTACCCGCGTCATACAGCATCAGCGGCGAAATTAACCAAGCGGCGGATATGGAACTGCAAACCGATAGCAATAAAAATTCGAGTGTACCAAGCAATACAACAGCAACAACCTGCAGCGCTACGGAAACCACATGCGACAGAGTAAGTGTGACAATGCCGCCTTCTCCATCACCATCGCCGCAAAAGAGAGCTTGTGAATGCCCTCCAACACTTGGTGGTAGCGACAGCAATGTCGAAACAAACGATAGCAGTAGGAGTAGTAATATTGGTAAATCTGAATGCCATGCGCCCCCCTTAAAGCGTAAGCGCTCAACAGATGATCAGAAAAATTTGGTCGATGTGTTTCCGGAAGTGTGTATTGATGCAACGCAAAGCGGTAATATTAATGACACACCTCTTTTGAGTAGTGGTGTTGGTGGCGCAGACGCCGTGTCGCCAAAGGAGTATGCAACACAGCTGGTGCAGAATTAAGATTACCACTCTTCCGGTTCCGATTGATTCGACAGCAGCAAACTTATTGGAAGTCATATAAGAAGAAAAACTACTACAACAAACACAAAAGTATGCATTAATTAAACTTATTTATTGTTTGCTACATATGTTTTTACAAGTATCGATAACTGTACATGCATTTAACGTTTGTCCAATTAAACAATTAAGTCATTTACATCCATACGTAAAGAGAACATAACTACTGGATTTTGATTTGCATTGAAATCCTTCAGCTTAAAGTGTGCAAGTGTGCGAAAAATTGAAAGAAATTTAAATTTTGGGTTTAATTTTCGTGTACATTTTTAGTAATCAGAGTACACGACAATTCGGTCTACATATATGTAGTGTATGCGACACCGAAATGATGTTTTAAGAGAATTAAAATTGTTTGCGTTTATTTTAATGAATTTACTTTTTGATAATTAAATGCATCTGGAAAATGTTGCATGTTTTAGTTTAGCCTTTGCAACACATGCTTTGTGCTAATAGTAATGCTATGCTGCTTTGCCGCAAATTGATCGAGTTATATTGAAAATTTTGAATTTTTTTTTACCTTTTACTAAGCTTACAAGTATTTTAAAATAAACGCATTTTTTACGGACATGGTCAGCATATACATATGTAAAGCCAGAGCCTCACCTATATACTGTAATATTTTATACTTTAGCTCTGCACATTTACGGTTCTATGCTCCAACTCCATGTGAGTAAGCTGGAGTTTTGAATGCATAGAATTCTGAACTCTTAAATTTATACATTTGTTAAACTTTTTATTTATTATATTTAGTTAAAATTTTTTATAGCAAAACATTTTCAAATATATCTGTATTTTTCAAATTTCGAAATTGTTTTTAGCTTTTATTTGCATTTCTTTCGCTTTCTTTTACCATTTTTGCCAATTTTTTTTAGTAGCTTAGTAGCTTGTTTGTTGTATGTATTTACGATTTTGCAAATACAAGCTCTGCAATATCGCTGTCAGTACTTCAAAAAAGATGGTTATCCATTTTCTGCTTGGTAAAGTAAAGTTAAAAATGCACCCGATTTCTGTAATTATTATTATTATTATTTTTTTTTACCTCAGAGGTAGCATACTAAAAAATTTGCTTGTTATTAACGGACCTCAAAAAAAGGAGGTTATTTTTGCATATTACAGTTTGAAGTATGAATGCCGCGGGGCATACCTCTTTAAAATATCTATCTATTTATGTGTAGAAAAAATATTATTCAAATGTCCTGACTTTTTCACACATTTCGGGTAATAAATCGGTTATTACTTGTTGTTGTTGTATCTTGCTATTGAATTAGCATAGTTGCGGTATTACTAGCATAAACACAGGCGTTCGCTTGGACGCACTGAAAGGAATGCAAAAGCATTAAATTGCTGCAACTTGGCTGTCATGCCTCATCGCCGAATATCGAAATCGCCATTCTTAAACTAACTGGCCAAAAGAGCCATAATTGGCTCAATTGTGATCACATTTCGTTCAAATCGTAATCTCCAATTTCATTGCATTTTTTGATAGATTAATAATTATTTTAACGTTTGGTTCGGTGCGAAATAATAATCCTTTAATTAAAAATATATCCGTTGGGAAGGTAGTGCCATTTGACAATAATCAAATGATAGGACTTTACTTTCCCAAGCGCGAGTTGGATAAACCTACATATATCTACCATAAATGTTCATTTTAGATATTCTGTAGGAGAAGCAGAAAACTTTTATGATTGAAATAGGATGCATGACAAATAGAATATACATGTCACTGTTTCGAATTTCGTTGAGGTTGTATATACATATGTATGTACATCCCGGAGCTAAAAAGCGAAATCGATGCATTACAAGATGCATCATATTTTGTTCAGGTATGCTCTACGAAAGTAATTCGGTCGCTTTATGAATCTATATAAAAAAAAAAAGGAAAAACAAAAAGAGCTTCCGCTGCACAGCATTTGAAACCCTCAAAAGCCAACCAAGCTTGAATTATTTTAAAACTTTTTTGTTTCGCTTTCTGCAAAATTACACATCCATTCAATCACTTGGGAATGCAAAAATGCGGTCATATCCTCATCACTCTCCATTTTTCCACAGAATTTTTTTTTCAAATGTTTGTAAGGATAACTCAAATCAACAAATATTATTAAGTTTATAACTAAATAAATTGTATGCTTCTTACTTTTTGGAAGTTATGTCTTTCTTCATTTTATTTTTATCGAATTTTGAAATATAATCATTAGCGGTCTTCATCTAAAGTGATAAAAAGATAAATTGCTTAAATTTATCAGTTTATCCGCATTCTTTCATGAACGCACCTTGATAAATAATTGCATAAAACTGTTTATTATTTAAATTATATGGCTAATTACGTTTCATTGTGTTTATTTACTTTTATGTGTTCGTAGCGAAAGCGACTACCTGCAACCTGTAATGGTTGAATTTTTGCTGAAATTTATAACTTTATCCACCAAAGTCGCTTGATAAAGTGATCAACTTTGGTTAAATAGATTTGCATACACAATTTGACATTTATCAAAATGATAGATTTATTACTTTATCAAGTTTATCAAAAGTGTATCACTTTTGATGAAGACCCCTATATTTATGTTTATATATTAGAGTTAGAAATTCGCATTTACAACGTTTTAAAGTCGATAACATCTGACAATTCACATCTCACATGGGAACGAGCAAAAACTTGTCATTAGATTAGGTGCGCAGAAGTTGTTGGAAATATTTTAACACCCAAAAACGCCAGATCATTTCACCAAGTTTCATACATGTCTAGAAACCCCATATTTATTATTAAAATTCGTGGTGGAAGGATAAAGATTACCAACCCCCAGACAAAAAAAAAATCTCAAAAATCAACGTTAATTTTTAGAGACTTGAAACAGGAGAGGTTGAAAATATTGATGGAATTTTTTTTTTTTTTTTTGAATTTTCCCTAGTTGTATATGAAATTTAAGAAACAAATTGATTCTGCTGGACTTTGCTGTTGAATAAACTATATTTTTTATAAAAAAAAAAATTGGTATGGAAATAAATACAATCGTGAAAACGTCACAGTATTCGAATTTTCAGCATCAACGAAAATTATAACACTGTAAAACAAATTTTAAAAAGTTGTAGGTGATGGGAATCGGACCGACTGCATTCGATAAATATGGTCAAATGGTGTAAGAGGACCAAAGGACTTGAAAAAGTTGCTTACCATTTTGTATGTCTATTTGAAGTTTGAGATCTAAGATCCCAAAATGACAATGTATGTATGTACATATGTATAATTTTTCTTAATTTTTAAAATTTCATTTTGAAATCAAAGTTAATTGAAAGAAAATACTTACTTGAGTCACAAATATTATGAAAAATGTATGATAAAAGTATTTTCAATTAATTTCTAATTATAACGATTGTTATTTCTATGAAAAGCATTATATTTTTAAATAAAACGTTTGTTTTTCTAATGAATTTATTTTTTATGTACTAGTCTTTTTTCAATTTAATATCTTTAAAACACGGCCTCAAGCTCAATAAAATGGTTGAATATAATTAATATTTTCTGATAATATACATTGACTCAAACGAATGAGCACGAGTTGTTATTTTTCAAATATTCTTGATATGTGATTTATACGGCTTTAGTTAAAGCTTAGACGATATTTTTATAGAAAAATAACCAAAAAAAAATTTGCCCGACGAATATTTAAAGAAAAAAAAAACGTGTTCACGTGGTCATTTGTTTGAGTCACTGTAGTTCTATACTTGAACCTTGATTTTTCAGCAACTTAAAGCCAAAATATTTTTCATGTTATGTTTCAAAATCAGTACTTAAATATCCATGTGATTACAAAATAGTCAATGACCACACACAAAGCAAAAATAATTAAATTACAGAAACACTTTGTAGACCGATTACTATTAAAAAAATAGTCCTCAACCTTCATTTTTCAACCGGTTTTTTTTTATTTCCTTTTTAATGAAAGCTAATAAAATTTAGAACAGATCTGTTAAGCTCGTTAAGTGCAGAGAAACGAGCAATTTCAAAAAAAAAAATATTTTCCTGTTCCTGTTAATAAATGCTACATAATAAAAACTAGTTGGAAACAATTTGTAGGGTTCGCGAAAACATAAAAAAAAACTTCAGAAACATTTGAAATGTTGTAAACAACTTTTCACCAAATTTAATATTTGTAACCAGTTTTATAGGCCATTTGATTTTAGTATATAAAGTGCAAGTTTCAAGTGACTAAGAATTCGCGCCAATTAAATTTTTTTTTTGCTGAAATTTCGAGCACACTTTATTTTATGCATTCGTATGTATAGGTACGGTGACCATCTGTCCTGTCTTTGAGGGCCGTACTGTTATTTAAAGGTTTATTAAAAATTCAGGAAACGGGCTCAACAGATATGTTCTAACTTTTATTATCTTTCATTTAAACAAATAATAATAATAAAATCGATTGAAAAATGTAATCAAAGGCCACAAAAATATGGAAAATCATACTTGTTCATTTTTGGATCTTAGATCTACAGCTTCAAATCGATATAAAAATATGATAACCAACTTTTATAAATCTTTTGGTATTTATTCATATTTTGACCACCACCTAAATAAATGCATTTTTTTGAATGTTGCACTGCGTAATTTTAGGCACTTATTCCACCTTAAAGATGTTTCCTGACGGATTTCAGAATTCTGTTCGATTTTTTTTTTTGGACAGAGGATTACTTTTTTATCGACTGTCTGGGCAATTTCACAACTGTGCTTCGAACTATTATAATTTTTTAAATTCATTTTTTTCGCGATCAAGTGTTTTTTTTTTTAATATTCATCTGCACATTTCGTTATTTTGAAGAATTTCAAAATTAAATTGTTGCTACAAACTGTTTGTGCATAACACTTATTGTATATGTATTTTATTTTCTCCACTGCTTAAATTTAAAAAAAAGGTACGGTTATCTACTTGTATTATGCAATTTCGTAGAGCGAAAACAGGCTATATAAAATTATTTAAAAAACATAAAGCTAAATACTCCGGAAGTGGCTTAAAAATTATGTATTTCTAATGCTATTTTTTATAAATTTTTTTCTCTTTCAAGCGATGGCTTAGCTTCAATATTTTTATAAGTAAATACAACTAAATATCTATGTATTTTAGTTTACGGTTTATGGCAAAATTTTAATACATATTTTTCGAAAATTATTCGAAAAGCGGCGCGGAGCTGCTAAAAGGAAAGCGTTAAGTGCAAATATGAATATACTTTTGATAAGTAGTTTTTACTAAGTCTATGTGAAAAAATAGCATAAAATTAAAATTAACAAGAATAACTGAAAGCACAAATTCGTTTTCTAATACAATTTGCAATTAATCTTAATAATAATTACTTATGTACATATTATTAACAAAACTATTTATTATTAAAAATAAGCTTAACATAGTACATGCGTATGTACGTATTGTACATATGTATATTGTATGCGATATGCAAATTTACATAAGCGTGCACACCTACGTACATACATACGTACAACATACATGTGTATTGGGGTGGTCCTTAAAATATGAACGTCTAAATTTTGTATGGGGCGCCAATTTATTTTATGAATTTGAAAAAATATTTTTTTTTTGAAATTGCAAAAAAATGGACAAAGTATTTTACTTGAAATCGGATAATATTGATATAATATTATTTTGCGACTTAAAAAAAAAACAATTTTTTCAGACTTTGAAATTTTTTTAACTTTGAAATTTTTGTGAATGTCTGCATTTTGTGCGTAGAACAAAATAAAGAGGTGTCTCATGATGTTGATATTTTAAGGACCATCCTAATATATGTATGTAACTTATGGATGCGTAAACTTTTTTAAGTCTACCTTTTCCAAGCAAAATATTTGCAATTTTAGATGCAGTTAAATTGGAAGCTAGAACTAGGCGATATGAAAATAATAATAAAAAAATCAGGCAGCAAGAGCGCGCGTGGATGGTATGGATACGACAACAACATGTAATCGCACATCAATTCATTGGTAAACCAACAACAACAAAAAAAATTTCAATTATATAAACTATCTAAATATTTACATATTAGCGATGTAAGCATACAATTATTCTATAAAAGCATACAATAATGTAATTATTTTAGCATTGCTTTGTTTTCTATTTATACGCAATAACAAAATACTAATTATATATATTAAGTAGACTTAAGAATTTAAATATTACGAATTAAACTTTTAATTTTGTCAAATAAATAATAATAATAGTAACTACTAAAACAAAATCAAATCAAATCAAATGAAGTGAATTAGATTTGTAGCACAGCACGATCGAATTGTACGCGGGTTGCATAAATAAATTTTGTGTGTAAATGAGTAAAAAAGTTTTTAACACAAAAAAAAAGAAAACATATGACGAGTGAAATAGGAATTAAAATTACATAGAAAGTTATTTTGCACTGGTGGTTCTCAAAAATATCAACATCTGGGACACGCCTGCATTTTGATCTACATACTAAATGAAGACATCCATGAAATTTTCAAATTAAAAAAAAAAATTGGGGTCTTTTTTTTTAATCGCAAAAATTCGGCAAAGTTTTGTCTGGCCAGCTATAACTCAGCTTATGGATTTATACGAATCAGTTTCAAAAATATTTCAAAGTGGTCAAATTTCAAGCCAACATTTTGTGGAATTTATGCGATTTAAAAGAAACCCTTTCAAACTCTGGTTGCGACCCCTAATTTTTTTAACTTTTAAATTTTCGTTCGTAAGGAACATCCGAATGTACAGATGCAAGTCTTTTCTGCGCTGGTAGCAAATATTTTGTAACGTGTAACTTATGTGGTATGCAGTTCTCGATTCCACTCTGCAGGGTCTGGGTTGAAGCCCTGATCAAAGCAACATCGCAAAAAAATTAGAAAAAAAGATTTTTTTTTAACAGCGGTCGCCCCTCGGCAGGCAATGACAAACCTCCGAGTGTATTTCTATCATGAAAAACAGCTTCTCATAAAAGATACAATCGCCCTTAGGAGTCTGTGTAAAACAATAGGTCTCTCCCTCTTGTGTGAAAACATCAAGGTGCACGCTTCAAAACGGAGGAGAAGCTCGGTCAAATAGGCTGGGGCAACACTGCGCTGCGCGGGACAATTGCGTTAACACCGTAACCGGAGCTGCCGCGCCAACACCAATATATGAAAAGCGCTATCGCCATTAACACCAAGAAACACATGAGACACACACACAATTCGCCTTAATTCTTAAATAAAATTACACGTATTTGTTTTTGTTTTTGAGTGGAGAGAATGCGAGAAACTTATCGTTATCTTATATAACTAACTAAAAAAATTTATTGCTGAAATGATGTGGGGACTTAGAATTCGATGAAATGCATCATAGTCAATGAAAAGGGAATTTTGAATTTTTACTTAGTTACGGATTTTTGTATTTCAGCGACTATATGAGTTAGGGCCTTTCTCTATTAAGGTAACGTTATGTACCTTGATGAGAATATCGTGGCATTTACTACGTTCGTGACATGACGATGGGTACTGTGGTGACACTCAGATGGCGCCGTGTTCAAATCAGTACACTGCGCTATTACGCTAGCGCCATAAGAATTGCGCTATTACCCACGGCTAAGGCCAAACACTAACATATTTATGTGTAATCGCCAATCTATTATTATTATTATAGCTTATGTTCCCATTTTAGTTTTTGTTAAAAAAGTTTTAAAATTTTCAGTTACAAAAAGTTCGGAAGGAGAATGAATAATCTAGAATATATGAAGTATACTAAGAAGATACTAGGTAATTGGCTCGGTTTTTCAAAACCGGTTTCCACCGTTTTTTTAGATATATATACGCGTTTTTTCTGTAAATCTTTATTTTTCGAATATCGAATAAATCATACAAATCTTGATCTCTCCATAAAAGTTTTAAGTTTTTCGAAGTTTTCCAACGCTTTTTTCAGCTTAAGCGAAAATTATGTTCTAGGATATTTTGGGGATGAACAGTATATCATATTGGATTCCAATGATTGAATGTTTGGCGTTTATACGTGTTTGGCCAAGCTTCTCCTCTCTACACTTTTACTCCACCTCCAAAGAAGCTTTTTTATGACAGAAGTATACTCGGATATTTGCCATTGTCTGCCGAGGGCGACCGCTGTTTGAAAAAATTTGTTTGTTGTTGCTGGGAGCATAAATTGAACCATGCGCCCCCCCCGAGTGGCAGGAGGCAGATCTAAGCTCTACGGCGGCAGGAGCTTTTGATCTGAAAGTAACTTTTAACATATTTTGCTTTGTTCTTTTCTAAATGAAAGCTATCTTTACTGTTAATAGTTCTATTGTAATTTTTGGTCATGACGCAGTAAGAAAACTATGTAAAATAAAACCGGTATATCCGGTCTTTTCTTAACTTCAAAATCGGGAATCGGGTTTTATCAAGTTGCAATTTTTCGAATAACTCGAAAACCGGTTTTGGAAAAAAGGCGAATAATCGAACACCCTAGTAGATACATAGATATTATAGAGGGTGTATTGTATCCTTTAAACTCATTAACAACACTTCGTCTGAATCTACAGCCCTAATGTAATTCAATAGTTTTAGGGCGGCAGGGAGTGAGTGTATGTACTCAGTATGTGGCCGGAGGTGCAATGCCGCCATACACATGTCAGTAACGACATCAGTCATCTGAACTAAAATTTCTAGGTTGTGCATTTGGGCTCGCAGCCTTTAATGATCTGTGGGATGACCTGCTACATACATAAATATCTTAAGTTTGCCTTTGGGAGAACGATTAGGTTCCTAAATCTCTAGGCTTTACTAGACTCTCAGCCTCATCGTTAATCCTGCGTGTCTTAATGGCAAAGGCGCCGAATCAGTTGTACTCTGCACTGCACATCAATGATTTCCCTGCCAGTCTTCTTTAGAACATCAAAGCTAGATTGGCGTTTGTGTGGAGTCAAAGATATGGGTGTGAAATTCACGTCTACTACCTCACTATTCCTCGTATGATATTTGTGCATAGGAAAATCTTAAAAACTGAAGATTTCGAATTTCAAAATGTATAGAATTTTACTGATTTTTATATATGATTTTTTCATTTCCGGTCTCTAATAGGCGGCATATACGGCGCGTCTGACTCGCGAGTCGGTTTGGATGTGTCAGGGAAAATAAATATGAGTTAGTTATAATGACATGACTCAACTGTGTGTGGTCGAAAGGCGCGTCAACACGTACACAGATGACTCGAGAGTCAGACGCACCGTCTACGGCGCCTATAAAGTTTCAGTTGTGCTCGCATGTTTTAAAAAAATTATTTTCAATGTAAATTCAATGGGAAATCAATCAGTCAGACGTGCTGCAGTGCAAAACGAACTAATGCTAAGAAGGGAAAGGAAATTTAAATTTTAAAGCAGCCATAAGTGAAAGTAAAAGTTAAAAATAAAAATAAATACAAACAACAACAAACGAAATACATATGTATGTAATACCTAGCTATTCGCATGAATAAAACGAAGAAAATATTTACTAAAAACCAAAGTAAAACTTTGTTTTCACTTAAAAAAAAACACACACACACATACACTTTGCAGAATAAAATAACAACAACAAAAGTTTTTTTTTTTGATACGCGCCTCACCAAAATAAGTTGCGATTTTTAGGGTTAGGGCGCATCACTCTCGATAGAAAAAACCAATATGTCACTGTTTTTCCGCCGAAATTATAAAAATGAAAATGAATTAAAAAGGCAGGTTTTGAAATTTTTAAACATTATTTTGCAGACCTTTTAAGCTTGCACTCTTCTATCATCTTAGGTGATTTTTTGGAAAAAAAATATTTTTAAAAACAAATAGCCTTAATCATAGAAAATAAAGTGGGTTTCAAAAGCTTTAAAAACTTCCATTTTGATACAAATTTTCGATTTATAAAAAGTCTTGAACTTTGAATGTAATTTTATTTACATATAAAAACTCGATTTTTGGAAGTACATACATATGTATGTATGTACATATTTTCAAATTGGTGCAGCTCACGTTAATCTTAGTATAGGGTGATCCATCTAGACCTTTTTTTAATTTTTAAATAATACGCTTAAAAACGAACTGGATGTCGGTATCTTTATTGTTTACCGAAATAACTTGTTAAAAATAATTTCATTCAAATGTTGGCGGCGACTACGCTGTAGGTGAACCATTCGGAGGTAAAATTTTCGATTACCCTTTCCAGCATTGCTACCTCTCTCTCGCAAAGTACGCGAATAATGTTGACTTCCAATTTTTTTTTTTGTTTTTGTAGATAGAGTGATGCACCCTAATGTAAGTACATAATGGGATTGAAAAACAAAAATATTCATTTTCAGTGCAGTGATGATGCTAAACTAGCAAGCAAATAATATACATACGGGTATATGTACATATGTTCATATGTAGTACATTTTTACCAACAAAAACTATTTATTGTATTTGCAATTGTTGTACTGCAACGTAGTTTCTATTTTAAATCTATTTTCGTAGTGCTAAGCAATTAGTTATAGGTTTGTTTATAAACAAACACACACACTTGCATATTGAATTAGTTTAATTTAGTTTTACTAATGATATGAGTACATAACGTCGCCTGCGTAAAAGATTGTCGTATGTTACGCACATACGTATGACGCTTACGACAATCTTTTACCCAGGCGACGATAAGTTTAATTTGTTTTGTTGTTCTTTTCTATACATATTACGTAGACATATATACATATGTACATTAGTGTGTGTGCCGAAAATCCGCTTTTTTTAGAATTTTGTTTGGTAATAGCAAAAATATGGGTAATTGTGCTCTAAAAACAATCTGTGTCAAAGATGACAATTTTTGGCACATATCTTGGCTCGCCCAACTCCACATCAAAGTTCAAGTGCTAAATTTTTTGTTTTTTTTAGCTTACTTCGATTCTCTTCAAAAAAGGTCCATATACCAATTTTAGTAAAAGAAAATGTATTTAATTTTTATTTTTTGAGCACATTGAACTTTGATGGACTTGACCGAGCCTAAGATATCGACCGAAAATTTTCATCTTTCACAAAGATTGTTTTTAGAGCATAATGAACCATATTTTTGCCATTACCAAACAGAATTCTGGAAAACCGATTTTCGGCCCACGCTAATGTACATACATACATTAATACATAATCAAACACTTATACATATTTACATACGTGTATTTCCACGTGCAGTTCATGCATGTATTCCCTACTATTTTGTCACTTAGATAATTTATACATTTTTGGTCTAAACCTTTGTAATTAGATTAGAATTAATTTTTAAAAAAACATCCACTTTTCACCCAGCCAAACTTTCGTGTTTTGCGGTTGTAAGCCATTCAGAAAAGTTACTTATAAAAATTCGTTTATTATTGTTGTTGGTTTGCACTCTCCTTAGAAATTATTTAGTTTTGCACCTCAGAAAATCCTTTTTTGCTTTTTTCTTTTATACAACTTTTTAATTATACGTTGCCTGTACAGAAAATTATGTAATTTACATTTTTTTTTAATAAATTGGTTACCTACAACCTACATATTTTTTGTATAAGCAAAAGTAAAATTGTCTTGTCTTATTTTATTCCCTTTGGTCGTATGTAAGTGTTAAATGTTGTGTTTTGTAGTGATTTCTTTTTTATTTAAAAGTAACTATATATGTAATACTTTTTAAAATATCGAGCCCTAACCACCAAAATAACTTAGGCGAATTTTTTTTCAAAACTTTATTTTTGATGCAGAAATATTCCTAGGGCATCTAGATGTATTGCTGCATCAAAAAGAAAATTTTGAAAAAAATGGCGTTTACGTTATTTTGGCGGTTAAGGCTCGATATACACGCTGCACCATCCGTCAAAAACTTTAAAACAACAAAAATGATTCTATAGGCAACTAGCAAACCCGACACGCTTTGCTTAATGGAAAAGTGAATAAAAGCGACCTATCTCAGCTGCCGATTCTAAAACGCCCTATATCAACATATTTTTCAACGACCGAGAGCGCGTTTTGGTTTAGTTCTGCATGAGAGCAAAAGGTAATGTCAAGAACATTCCCACAAAATAACCAAATGGGAACAAAAGTATTGAGAGCTATTTAAACGAGTACAAATTCAGAACAAAAGGTTCGGAAACGTTTCCGTAAAGAACAAAATGCGAACAAAACTCTCGGTAACGTTCTCAAGATGAACAGAATGAGAACGAAACTTTCGGGAACGTTCCCAATGTAAACAAAATGAGAACAAAAGTGCCGAGAATGTTTTCAATAATGATCAAATAAGAACAAAAGTCTGGAGACGTGAAGAATGATTGCGGCGACTGCATGTTGGGATGAAAAATCGTTTCAGTGAACTGTCCATTTAAGGAACAATTTTTAATTTTCTATGCAAGGAAAGTTCGTGTCTTAAGTCTTTCGTTGCCTTAATTTCATAATTATTTTTCAGTTCTTTTTTATTAATTTTAATATTCAAACATTTCAAACTAATGAACGCTACGAGAAAAACTTGGTTCTTGCTTCCATTTTCCGCGAATAGTTTTGTTCCCATTTCGTTCTCTGTCAGAAAGCTCCTGAGACTTTAGTTGCGAAATTGTTCTACGAGAGAGAAGGTTCCTTAGACTTGTTCCTTGCCAAAAGGTTTCGGAGACTTTTGTTCTCATTTTGTTCTCTTAGAAATGTTTCCGTTCGCATTTTGTTCTCTTTGGGAACGTTCCAATCATAAGTCCCATTGTCCTTGTTTATAAATATAGGAGAGCGAATTATCGCAATTGTTCTTGTTTTGGTGACACATTACCCTAAACTGACTGCTTTTAAGAATAAAGACATGGCCGCTATAACACACACGCAATTATTTTATTTACATATATATTTTTGTATTAAACTGCGCACATACACATATTCATATATACAAATGTATGTTTATAATATCGAAAAGAGTAACAAAATACAACTGGATGTTGATACAAAAGGATAAGCTTCGCCATTTACCAATAACATTTGAGGGAGTAATAACAATTAAATACTACCATTTGAAACCCCTATACGTTTTCCAGTTGCCACGTTACCGCTCGCGCAGAAAAGGAAAAACCCGCTGCAATTCCGCTTTCGATTTGCATGCTTCCAATTGTGCTAATGCCTCCACAACATTTAACAAATAAATCTGCAATTGCTGACGACGCTCCTCTACAAATGCCAAGTTCATATTGCCAAAATGTTTTTTCGGTGGGAATTCAACTGACGACACAGATGGATGCGTATGTAACAGTGATTTATGCAATTTGTGGAAGTCCCTATAGCGTCGCAGCACCGACCAATGCTCCAAGTTTTGACGCATTGTAATGTGTATCTCGTATGCGTAATACGATGTACCATGCTTGGTTTTCTTCAATTCTGCCGTTGGAATGGTAATGAGAAAATTGGTAGCCAGTGAAGCGGAGGGGTCAATGGCAAGCCCATTGAAGTTTTGTGTTAAGCGCCGGACAAGTTGACGGTTCTCGCGTGTGAGCTGTGCTACTCGTGTCTCTAATAGCGTGCAACGTTCTTCCATTTCACGTAAACGCTCTTCCATCACTGCATGGTTAACAGTGCAATTTGCGGAAGACGATTTACTATATTGCGATGAGGTGTCACTCTTATCTTCATACTCGTGCTCGCCCACTGTGGTGGCGGCGGATGTTTTATCACTAACACCGTTTTGATCTACTGAGGTAGTGTCATCAGCTGTAGACTCCTTTTGGCCGCTTTGAGTTTCTGCAGACGTATAAATGTCAGGTAAGGGCTCTTTAAGGAATTCCAATTCCGGCTCGATCGGATCTGGTGGTGTGGTTTCTACTTCTTCTTGTACAGGTAGCTCTACCATAGCCTCAAAAGTATGTAAGGAAGATTTTTGAATTTCCAACTTAGTTACCTCATTAATAGCCTTTATTAAATCCTCTGTGGAGTTGGCAGTGGCAATAGGACGTTCCACCGGATGGGATTTACGTTTATGTTTACCTAAAGCAGCAGGTAAAGGTGTAGGCGCGTATATAACCGGCTCTTCTTTATGGGGCAACAATGGTGCAATACGTGTTGGCGCATTTAATTCCGTGGAATTTACTGTAAATGCGAAAAGCACATCATGTAATGAGCCTATTATTTGTGGCAACTCTTTGCTAGCAGTGGCGTCCAATAACAGAGACCATTGTGTATAGTACTGACGCAAATCTTCTACGGCGTCTAGCCATGTTAGCAGATATCGCTGTAGCGAATTCTCGTTAAGCGTGGCGCGTATAAATGCCTTGCCAAGTCCGCACTTTGTCCAAACATGTTTGAGTGTCAGGTACCGTTCGCGCTCATGTGCAGTCAAATGTATTTGACAAAAATCCCAAAATGTGACGTCACCGCTATTATCATTTAAAGTGGAGCTGCTTCCTGTAAATAAAAATATTTAAATAGAATATAGGTTAATAAATATTATACATTACCCGTCACAATCTCGTGCATATTTTGGAATAAACTCGCTGCAGTTAGCGCAACCACTGAATGCTGTTGCTTCAACCCATATGAAAATGCATCCTCTAAAGCCTCACACAATTCTGCCACATTGCCATCCTTTTCCGTGGCTAATTCTTTGCGTCCACTATAATGCTGCCTACACTTTTCTGCGCTCTGTTGAAGGCGTTTAAATATGTCTTCCCTGCGTTGCCAAAAAGTGCTTCCGCCAAACGATGCGCCAGCTACACTCAATTTTGGTGGTTGCAGGGAAACACGTTCTGGCTGACTCATCAAGTGATCTGGCATATTCAGCTTAATGCTCAAAACCTTGATTTCAATATAACTGGAAACGAATGTAAAAATGCGATTTGTTATTGTTTACGCCTATTTTTCATCAATTGCGATTTTGTAATCAACAATTCTCACCTGGACACTGTTTACCACATACAAGATAAGATGATGTTAAGTACCCGCCAAAAATAAAGCGTAGCTGGGCGATTTGTAAATATTTTGTTTTCGTATGCAATAAAATTATTTTTCTATTGCAAAATAACGCGAAACCCAAAAAATGTGTTTGTTTCAGTAGACAGTTTCGTATTTTTTTCTGCGTATTTTGCTAAAGGCAATTGACGTATGGTAACAGCTGATCGGCGAACTGGGAGGAAACGAAAGCTAGTTACAGGGTGATCAAGCAGGTGAATATCTAAAAGGGTGTATTGAGGTGTATTAAGGTAAACATATACATAAGTAAGGTAATTCTCTAGGGTGCGGTAACTACCCCTAAAAAAGGTGCGGAAAAGTCGGGAGGGGTATCAAACGACGCGTTTCGGCCCCCCTATTAACAATCCGGAGGGGGGGAGATAATATTATTAACCATTTAAAAGTTATGAACAAAAAAATTTTGTTAAATTTCGTTGTTTTCGATGGGCAATTACACCGACAAAGATTCACTAAATCACCTGTTCACACTTTTTAAACACTATTAAAATATATAATTTAACTTATTTATTAAAGAAATACATAGTTTTATCAACCTTAGATAGCTTATTTTGTTATTAAAAAGAAGTTGACAATCTTTGCGAGCTGAAACGCGAGATTGCAAAATAGCTATAGTGCTGCCACTGTATTAGTATTTCGTAATAATTCACTTTTCCTTATGAGATGTGTGCACTGTTCAATGCTTTTCGGTATCTTCTTTCGTTTAATATATATATAAATAATGAAAATTTTTAATAAAAAATCGCGCGATTTTTTATTAAAAATTTTCGCCTGCGTCGCTTTTTCCATAAAAAT